CTTCACGAAGAAATACTGCAGCGCAATGTGCTTGGTGCGGTTGACGAAACCAGGTTTGTTCGTGATGCAAGTCGCGCTCTGGTTGTCGCAGTGAAGACGAAAGGTGGGCGAAGCTGGAATTTTCGCCTCCTGTAGGAGTTCCTGCAAGTAGAGGCGTTAGCGAACTGCTGCGGTTGCTTCGATGAATTCCGCTTCGGGTGATGACAGGGCAACCAACTCCTGCTTGTGCGAGTTCCAGGAGATTGGTCCAGTTGGTTTGAGTCGGAACAAGAAGCCAGTCCTGGACCGTCGATTGTCGGGATCTGCTGCGTGATCGGCGTCCACGTAGCCAATGAGGTTGAAGGATGGGGTTGGTGCAGTTGAGTAGCACAGCCCAATCTTGGGCGTTGAAACGAAGAACTGTAGGGCGCGCTGCAGGTCCAGAAGATTCTCAGCCGTTGGTTTGCGTGAGTACTAGGCCAGCTGACTTGCGATGTAGGAGAGGTCAGGCCTGCATGTGACAGAGGAAAAGAGCAGGCATCCCAGCTGCTGCTTGTAAGTCTGAACTCCAGCAAGGGATAGGGCTTTGTTGTCAGGTTTGTGGCTCGGTCTTGGAGTTCGGTAGGGAGTGGGGAGCGGGTGAGATGTTGAATCGCTTTCCTAACTCCTCTGCGTACTTGGCTGCTGAGAGGTGAATGGCCTCAGGCGCGTAGGAGATGTTGAGGCCTAAGAACTGCTTCACCTCGTAGTTGTAAGTGATGTCGACGCGCCCCGCCAGGTTTTTCTCGAACTGCTCCAGTAGTTCTTTGCTTGATTCTCTGTAAAGCAAGTCGTCGACGTAGACTGTGAGGAGGATGTATTCGCTGCGGAAATCACGGCGGTACATCCCAGGATCATGCGGCATCTGCTTGAACCCGATTTCAAGCTGAATGTTGTGCAGATACTGCTGCCACAGTCTTGGTGCCTGCTTGATCCCGTAAAGGGACTTGCGCAGCTGACACACGCGCGAGTCCCCTTCGCCGTATGCATGCGGCTGCTCACGTAGATTACAGCGTCTTCTAACGCATACAGGAACGCGTTCTTAACGTCGATCTGGCGGAGCGGCGGGTGCCTTGCGGCTCCGATGGTGAGCAGGATTCGGACGGAGGTGTGGCGACTGACCAGAGCAAACGTCTAGTTGAAGTCGATCCCATGCCTTTGGTCATAGCCACGCACCACCCAGCGCGCCTTAAAGCGCTCGATCGTTCCGTCCGCTGCGGTCTTCACAAAGACCCACTTCCCCGAGAGAACTCTTGCACCCTTGATTGCTGCGCGGTCGACTAGCACCCAGGTATCTCTGGATTCGAGGGCCTTGATCTCCGCGTCCATCGCCTCACGCCAATCCTTGCTGTGTGGTCTAGTGAGAGCTTGGCGCGGGTTTTGTGGCTCGATGACACGTGGCGCCTTAGAGGTTGCAGTGTGAAGCCCGAGCAGCTGTAATCATGAGACAGTGCTGTCGTGGCGACGTTGCGGGACGACTTCCTGCACGTCGTCGTCATCGCTATCTGGTTCAGGTGGCGCTGGTGGTGCTGCGCCTTTGCCGCTTCCGCCCATTCCTCCTCCAGAGGAATCGTCGTCGCTGTCGTTGTTATGGCAATCTCCCCACGTGAACTCACCCCTGGTGTCCTGCTCGAGGATTGCTGCAGCGGCTTCGTCCTCGGGCATTGCGTAGCTGTGCCCATCGTTTGCGTAAACGCGGTTTGCGTTCGTCTCCTCGTTGTGGCGGAATTAGTCGAGGAAGAGGCGCTCGTAGAAGATTACGTCGCGAGCGTGGGCAGTCTTCCGACTGAGTAGATCCAGCATGATCCACGCCTTGTACTCGTGACTGATACCTAGGTGAATGCCCCATCGCGCGCGACGGGCGAATTTGCCGATGGTCGACGTCGGCGGGCGGTATTGCACCATACACCCCTATACGCGGAGCATGGACGTGTCCCCCTTAGTCCCGGTCCATTTCACATGCGGGGACAAGTTGCCAATGATGGCGGTGGTTGACTCCATGTTGTGCACCCGCACAGCGTGGTGCATCGCGGAGGTCCAATAGGTCGGTGGCACCTTCGACTGCTTCATCAACGCCCGCACCTTTGTCATGAGCGTGCGGTTCGTCCGCTCGGCTACGCCCTGCTGCTGATGTGCGTAGGGGAGAGAGATGTAGTGCTCAATCCCCTTTTGAGACAGGTAATCTTGCATCTGCTTACTCCTGAATTCTGCAGCGCCGTCAGATTGACAGATCTTCAGCTTCTCCCCGGACTGCCGCTGCGCGTGCGCTAGCCATTGGCGGAATACCTCGTAGGCTCTATTGCGTGACTCCACGTTTGCGACCCGCACGTGGCGCGTTCCAGCGTCGATGAAGGTAAGCGTGTACATTTCGTCGTCAACTCCGCAGTGCCCCACGTTCAGGAAGTCGTTGTACACCTTGTGCAGCTTGGGGTAGCGGTTCGTTCTTGGTTCAAGCAGCGGGAATGGCTGGTGGCTTAGCGCGGCTTCGGGGCAGATGGTGCAGTTGCGCGGATGTGTCGCGCCTCTCGCTTCGGTGCCATCTGGGTGCAGGAGCGCTCCAGGAGCGAAGACGCCTGCGTCGATGCAATTTTTCAGCGTCGCGCGTGAAGGATGTCCGAGGCGCTGGTGCCAGAATGCATTGTCAGCGTGAAAGCCGGAGGTGCGCATGTAGCGCGCGCGAGCTTCTTCGGGATCTTCGTCAGATACAGGGGCAGGTTCTGCTGCTGCCTCTTCTGCTGCTTCTTCTTCGTCGTTGGCGGTGGTCATTATTAGCGCCAAAAACTCTCTGTCACGGATTTCGGAGAGGGGAATATTAGTCCCAGGGATGGTTCCAGGGACAAAGGTGGGTTCACGTGGTTGAGGAGCGGGTCCGTAGACGGTGCAACGCGGGGTTGACGACTCGTTGCCCAAGTTGATGGTGTCCCAAGGATCGCGACGCGGTGGGTTGTCAGGAGGGGGTAATGCAAGTGGAACATGGCGTGGTGGACAACCAAGGGGAACAACTGCAGGTGTTGCCTCAGGAGCATCTGCTTCTTCGTCTCCCCCCTTTTGTTCTTCGTGGGAAGTCTCCCAGCCGCTGTTGTCTGCGCTAGTTGCTTCGCCCCATCCACCGCTTGCGTTGGCCCAGGTTCCGCCGCTGTTTCCCCAACCGCCGGTATCGCTCGTTCCCCATCCGCCGGTATCGCTCGTTCCCCATCCGCCAGCGCTTCCCCACCCCCCTTCTTTGGAGGCACTTTCTTCCGCTTCGGCTCCCCACGCGCCGCAGGCGAACGTCCCGCGTGCTTCAGCAAGACTTTGTTGGCAAAGCTCTACAGCTTCATGGCGCGGCGGTTCTTCTTCCTGTTCTACGGTAAGTTTCTTCGGCGGGATGCGCCGATGAGAGTAGATTTCCAAAATTTTCTCATCGGTGTAGGGTCGCGGCACGCCATGCGCATCAAAGGTGCCGACGCCAGTGCCACGCAGCATGCCTTGCAGATGTTGGGAGGGGGGTCCGATGAGAGGGTATTCTGGCATGCCGAACACGCCGCGCGTTGTGACTTCAAGCTCTAGTTGTGACATTCCTTCTTCTGGCGGCGCGTGGCGCTCGGCTTCGTCGATGGCGGCGAGTCGCGCGGCCGGCAATTGCACTAGTTGACGCTGTTGGCGTGTGGCAGTCTCTGCAGATGCCGTCTGGGTCTGGATCGTGTAGCGCTGTTTCGCGTGGGTGGGGATGATGCGGCACCCACGGTCTGCCGTCAGGATGCTTCCAGTCCCTGCGGTGGATATGCTCGAAACGCAGAGGCACGAGATCGATTAGCTCGTGTGAATCGCTGCTGCAGTCAGGAATGTCAAAGTCCAGGACGTACACTCCATTTTCGGAGTGTGCTCATCCGATCTGCCTGCGGGAGAAAGTCCTGGATTCGTAGTGTAGCAAAATGTCATGCGTCGCGCGATCCGTGTTGAGGTCAACACCGCATTCCATGAGCTGTGCGGCCGAAAGCAGGTTGAAGCGCAGGCTCTGGACGATCAGCACATCGTTGAGCGTGATGTGCATGCGGCTTCTGCGCGCCTTGAGCACGACGATGCATTGCGCACTTGCGCGCAGGCGTCCGTTGTTAGCCACGATGACATAGGTGACTGTGGGGGTGGCGACGGCGTTGGATATGTAACGCTCGGAGCCCACCATATGCTGCCTCCAGCAGCTGTCCAGGTACCAGGTGTTGTAGCGCTTGTTGTCATCACGTGCGAGCAGCGCCAGTCGCGGCGTGACGATGTGCGGAGTGTCGAACTTCAAAAATTGCTCGCGCGAGAGCCAATCAAGTGGCGCCACCCGCATGTCAGGTACGTGCGGGGGACTTTCAAGTAGCGGGAATGGAAGATTCCAGTCTTGGTTGTCGTTGTCGGTGAAGTCGTGGCGCGGACTGAACGAATTGTTGTTGGAGAACGCGCCAATGGGATGCGGTGCTGGCTCAGGTGAAGGTGAGCGCACGCGGCGACGACGCGACTCGCCCGTCATGGCCATGTTGCTCATGACGCTGCTGCTACTGATGCTGAACCACTGGGTTCAGGTTGCGCACGGGTGGGGGTTGATACCCCTGGGCTGGACGCACGTCGCCTCGTGCGTCTTGTCGGCCGGACCAGTTGCTCGGATTGGTCTAGCGAGGGCGAGATCGGGACTTGCATCGATCCGCCAAATGCCCGAAGCTTCTGCACATTTTGCAGTAAAGGCGCCACGACCGTCGCTCTTCATTGTTGTCGGCGTAGAAGGCGAGCCATTCTCGTTCTCGTCGTGGCGCTGGTATCTGCTGATCCATATCCCGTTGTTCGACGAGAAGGGTGGCGCAAAGGGCGGCCTCCGAGATGACCCCCTGCTGTCGGAGAAGCGCCTTGCAGGGCCGCCACTCTGGGCCGAGCCCTTGAAGCACGATATTGACGAAAATTTCCGCCGTGATCTGTCAAACTTATATGCTATAGTCTGTGTAGGCTGTAGTGGGGTAGACAATATGGAGTACAACACTTTTAGGTTTTCCTACTTGTACCCACCTCTTTCCTAGTGCATTAATTCCTTGTTCTTTCACATGGTATAGAGCAGGTTCCCTAGTGGGAACATTTCCTAGGGCCCACCGAAAATTCGAATTTTTTTCCTGCCCGGAGCGCGCTTCACCCCTGCCCGAGTCGCTGAGAAAACTGAAACGATATAATAACTACACTAACTACAGCTACAGGCAATTACAGATATATTCTAACACTCCCCCATAACTACCTGCAGCAGAAGCTAATGCAGAGACACCCCCTGAAGGGGTACACCAAGCGCAGCAGATGGAGAGGGCAAAGTGAGGAGGAGGGACTATATGAGGAGAAGCTGCTGGCAGGTGAAGCTGCTGGCTCCAAGGCGGCTGCTTCCTGGAACCTTCCTCAGTCCTCCAACTCCCCCTTCCACACTCCTTGACAACCCTAGCACCTCTCCCCCAGCTCCCCCACACCCTCACACCCACCACCCCCCCCCCCAAGCGACAGCTGCAGTAGTGGGAGAGAAAGGAGGAGGAGGGGAAGGGGATCACACACACCCATCACCCCCATACCCGCCACCCCCATAGCCTCCGTTCCACGGCTGCACGCGCAGCAGGGAGACAAAGAAGGGGGAGGGGGAAGAGCAGGGGCAGCATAGGCACGGGCAGCAACGGGCGACGACGGGCAGCACAGGCACGGGCAGCAACGGGCGGCAACGGGCAGCACAGGCACGGGCAGCAACGGGCGGCGACGGGCAGCACAGGCACGGGCAGCAACAGGCAGCAACGGGCAGCACAGGCACAGGCAGCAACGGGCGGCAACAGGCAGCACACCCACGGGCAGCAACAGGCAGCACAGGCACGGGCAGCAACGGGCGGCAACAGGCAGCACAGGCACGGGCAGCAACGGGCGGCAACGGGCAGCACAGGCACGGGCAGCAACAGGCGGCAACAGGCAGCACACGCACGGGCAGCAACAGGCGGCAACGGGCAGCACAGGCACAGGCAGCAACGGGCAGCACAGGCTCGGGCAGCAACAGGCGGCAACGGGCAGCACAGGCACGGGCAGCAACGGGCGGCAACGGGCAGCACAGGCACAGGCAGCAATAGGCAGCAACGGGCAGCACAGGCACAGGCAGCAACGGGCGGCAACAGGCAGCACAGGCACGTGCAGCAACAGGCAGCACAGGCACGGGCAGCAACGGGCGGCAACAGGCAGCACAGGCACAGGCAGCAACAGGCAGCAACAGGCAGCACAGGCTCGGGCAGCAACAGGCGGCAACGGGCAGCACAGGCACGGGCAGCAACGGGCGGCAACGGGCAGCACAGGCACAGGCAGCAACAGGCAGCAACGGGCAGCACAGGCACAGGCAGCAACGGGCGGCAACAGGCAGCACAGGCACGGGCAGCAACAGGCAACACAGGCATGGGCAGCAACGGGCGGCAACAAGCAGCACAGGCACGGGCAGCAACAGGCAGCAACGGGCAGCACAGGCAGGCAGCCGTACCGAGTCCAAGAGCGGCGGCGCATACAGCTGTAGGGTCGGCGCCGTGGGCAGGGGGGAGGGCGCCGCGACGAGTAGGAACGGCGCCCAAGGGGTGCCGCTACGAGTAGGGACGACGCCCCAGGGGCGCCGCGACGAGCAGGAGCGGCGTCCAGGGGGCGCCGCGACGAGCAGTGGCGACGCCCCGCGGGTCCCGCAGTGGCGTCACGACGAGCAAGGCGACGCCATGCGGGTCCTGCAGGGGCGTCGCGACGAGCAGGAGCGGCGACGCCCGGGTCCCGCAGGTGCGTCGCGACGAGCAGGAGTGGCGCCTCGCAGGGCGCCGCGAAGTTGAGGGTACGGGCAGGCAAAACAGGCCCGCGCGTGGATGTGAGGCAGGCGCGCAGGCAGCGTGAGGGCAGGCCACGCGCGGGGCAGGAAGACGCCGCGCGCCCAGGGCGCACGGCGGGCAGAAAATCGCCGTGCGCCGCCGCGCGCCCGAGGCGCGCGGCAGGACGATAGGCAGCGGAAGCAGGAAGGCAGCAGGAGGACGATACCTGCTCTGAATACCATCTCAGAATCTAGCTTGACTTAGGAGCCATTGCTAGTTAGGTTCTTAGTAGCTTAGGTTTAGGGTTGAGGAGAGTGTCGAGAAAGTTGAAAGGAGAATAGAGGGGCTTCACTATAGGTTTGCAAGAACATATAGCAAAGGAAACAAAGAAGGTGCACCACCAAACAAAGTTTATCATAACTACACTAACTACAGCTACAGGCAGTTACAGATATATTCTGATAGTCGTGCCCCGCGTCCGCCTGCCCTTAGTTGCCCCTTAGCCGCTCCCTCGAGGCCCCACTCACGGCCCCTCACGGCCCCTCTATCGCCGCCCCTTAGCCGCTCCCTCGCGGCCCCCCTCACGGCCCCTAGCGGCCCCTCTCACGGCCCCTCGCGGCCCCTCAACGGTCGTTCGCGGCCCCTCGCGGCCCCTCTCGTGGCCCCTCCGCGGCCGTTCGCGGCCCCTCGCGGCCCCTCGCGGCCCCTCCGCGGCCGTTCGCAGCCCCTCGCGGCCCCTCTCGCGGCCCCTCCGCAGCCGTTCGCAGCCCCTCGCGGCCCCTCTCCCGGCCCCTCGCGGCCCCTCTCACGGCCCCTAGCGGCCCTGTCGCGGCCCCTCGCGGCCCCTCGTGGCTCGTCGCGGCCCCTCCGCGGCTCCCTCGCGGCCTCGTTGCAGCTCCCTCGTCGCCCCTGCCCGCCACGGCGCCCTGCCCTAACCCGCGCCCTGGAGCAGCCGCCACTGCAGCAGCCGCCCCTGGAGCAGCCGCCTCTGCAGCAGCCGCCCCTGGAGCAGCCGCCACTGTAGCAGCCGCCCCTTGAGCAGCCGCCACTGCAGCAGCCGCCCCTAGAGCAGCCGCCCCTGCAGCAGCCGCCCCGGGAGCAGCCGCCACTGCAGCAGCCGCCCCTGGAGAAGCCGCCACTGCAGCAGCCGCCCCTGCAGCAGCCGCCCCTGGAGCAGCCGCCACTACAGCAGCCGCCCCTGGAGCAGCCGCCCCTACAGCAGTCGCCCCTGGAGCAGCTGCCACTGCAGCAGCCGCCCCTGGAGCAGCCGCCCCTGCAACAGCCGCCCCTGGAGCAGCCACCCCTGCAGCAGCCGCGGAGCCCTCGCCCTGCAGTGCTAGCCGCCTCGCCGTTGCCGCAGTCATACGCCTGCCCTTCTCGCCACTGGTGAGCACTGCCCTGCCCGTACTGCTGTTACTGCTGCTCTTGCTGCTACTGCTCTTTCTACTGCTACTGCTGCTCCTGGCGTGGCCAAATGCAGCTCCAGTGCCATCCACATGAGTCCCTCGCCCCCCAACAGCTTTGTGAGTGGTACGCTAGTTGGGGTTGTAGGGGTGGCTGCGCTGCGACTACTGCTACTGCTTCTACTGCTGCTACTGCTGCTACTGCAGCCACCACTGCTCCTCCTGCTCCTGGCTGTGGCCAGATGCAGCTCCAGCGACGTCCGCGTGAGTCCCTCACGCCCCAGCAGCTTCGTGAGTGGTACGCTACTTAGGGTTGTCGGGGTGGCCTTAGTGGGAGTCGTTCTGGCGTGAGGAGTTCGGGAGCTACTTGTAGTGGCCAGGCGTAGTCCACGCGTGGTCCTTTCGTCCCAGCAGCTTCGTGACTGGTACGCTCAGCGTGGAGGTTTGCGGAGTACTGCTCGCTGTCCGTACGTCATTCGCACTGGTGCTCGGACTGGTCAGCCCTGCGGGACGCTTGGTCACGCCGAGTCCCGCTGCTTTGCCCGTCTGAGCGACGTCTGGCGTATGGAGTTTGGCGACACCGCTGAGCTCCCCGACTGGGTGGAGCAGCTTAGGCAGAAGGTAGATATCTATGCTCTTGACTATGATGCTATCCTCACTGCCATGTATGCATTACCTACTAGTGATGTGGGTGACTGTTACATGTGTGTTCCGCCTAACCCGGGCATTCAGGCTGCTGCTCTAGGTGCCGGTGAGGCTGCTGCTCTAGGTGCTAGTGCGTCTGCTCCTCCAGGTGCTGGTGAGTCTGCTCCTCCAGGTGCTGGTGAGTCTACTGCCCCATGTGCTGGCGAGTCTGCTCTCTCAGGTACCACGTCGTCTCAGGTGTTACACACCTTCACCCTTGACTCGGGTGCTTCTCGCTCCTTCTTTCGAGACCGCACCACACTCACGCCGCTTAGTCGGCTGGTTGCAGTCTCCCTGGAAGACCCCTCTGGGGGTCCCGTCCTTACCCACTTCTCCACTGTCTTACCGTGTCTGGCGGCCCCTTCTAGCTCCCTGCCAGGTCTTTACCTCCCCTCGTTCTCTACGAACTTGGTGAGTGGGGCTGACCTACAGGACGCAGGGGTTGACCAATTCACTCCTGCGCGTCAGCGAGTGACCCACTGTACGTGTGCTCGGACGGGCCGACACTTGGCCACGTTTACCCGTCAGCCGGGGTCGAGCCTGTACACACTTACTACTAAGTCTCCTCAGGTAGCTGCGTCGAGTCAGGTGTTTGCTGCAGCGTCCAGGTCTGGTCCTGAGTCTGCCCCCTGCTCGTGTCGTCTCCTGTCTCACCAGACTCTCCTCTGGCACCACCGCCTTGGTCAACCCTCCCTACCTCGTCTCCGAGGCATGGCCTCTCGTTTCCTTGTCTCGGGTCTCCCCCGGTCCCTCCCTTCTCTTCCTCCGGGGCCTGGCCCCACCTGCGTTCCTTGCGTCGAGGGGCGGCAGCGCGCCACTCCTCACTCTCCGAGTTTCCTCCGACAGAGGCTCCGCTGCAGACGCTTCACAAGGACGTGTGGGGCCCAGCCCGCGTCCGTGGGCAGGGTCACGAGCGTTACTTCCTACTGGTGGTTGACAACTACTCGCGTTACACCGCAATCTTCCCCTTGCGCAGCAAGGGTGAGGTCACTGAGGTGTTGATCGACTGGATCCGCGCAGCTCGTCTCCAGCTCAGAGAGAGTTTCGGCTCGGACTTTCGTGTCCTGCGTCTGCACTCCGACAGAGGCGGTGAGTTTTCCTCTGCCCTTCTGCGAGCCTTCTGTTGTGCACAGGGCATCCGCCAGACGTTCACGCTTCCGGCCTCTACACAGAAAAATGGGATTGCTGAGCGCCGCATTGGTATGGTCATGGACGTCGCTCGTACGTCCATGATCCATGCGGCTGCTCCCCATTTTCTGTGGCCGTTCGCGGTTCAGTACGCGGCGCATCAGATCAACCTTCAGCCCCGGGTCTCCTTGCCGGAGACCTCCCCTACTCTGAGGTGGATGGGGAAGGTTGGCGATGCGTCTGCGTTTCGTGTCAGGGGATCTCGGGCTTTTGTCCGCGACTTGTCTGCGGACAAGCTGTCCCCCCGTGCTATTCCCTGCGTCTTCCTTGGCTTCCCCCCTGACGTGCCTAGCTGGCAGTTTTACCACCCCACCTCGCACCGTGTTCTGTCTTCCCAGGACATCACCTTTGACGAGTCGGTGCCTTACTACCGTCTCTTCCCCTACCACACTGCCCCGCTCCCCCCTCCGCCGCTCTTCCTCACGCCAGGTGCTGCCTTGGTAGATCCCTTGCCTCCCCAGGTTCTTGCTCCCTCAGGTGTTTCCCAGGTAGTCCCGGTCGAGCATGTCGAGGTAGCTGTCGACTCTGGTCCTGCGCGAGGTACTGAGCGTGCTGAGCCTGGTGGTGCTGGGTCTGGAGGTACTACACCTGGGGGTGCTGAGCCTGAGGGTGCGGAGCCTGCGGGTGCTGAGCCTGGGGGTGCGGAGCCTACGGGTGCTGAGCCTAGGGGTGCAAAGACTATGGGTGCTGAGCCTGGGGGTGCAGAGACTGCACGTGCTGAGCCTGGGGGTGCTGTCTCTGGGGGTGCTGGGTCTTGAGGTCCTGAGCCTGGGGGTGCTGCGCTTAGGGGAGCTCTCTCTTCCCAGCAGCTACGTGAGTGGTACTCTCGGTACTGTCGCAGCCTCCGGGGTGCTGCTGGAGCTGTTGGCGCTGGTCCTACTGGAGGTGCTACTGGTGCTGCTGGGGGTACTAGAGCTGCTGGGCCTTGAGGTGCTCCTGGTGCTGGAGCAGCTGGCAGTGCTGGAGCTGGCGGTCCTGCTGGTGTTGGCGCTGGAGGTGCTGCTGGCGCTGGTGCTTCAGAGGGTGCTGGAGTTGGCGCTGCTGGAGCTGGAGGTGCTGCCGGTGTTGGAGCTGGCGGTGCTGCTGGCGCTGGTGCTTCTGAGGGTGCTAGAGTTGGCGCTGCTGGAGCCGGAGGTGCTGCTGACGCTGGTGCTACCGCTGGGGGTGCTGGTGCTGTCCGTGCTGTTTCTAGAGGCGCTGCGTGGCCGCGGCCGTACTTCGTTCCGCTCCTTGAGCAAGTTCTTGGTCTCCCGCCTTCTACTGGTCCTGCTCCTCCCTTAGAGTGTCCACAGCCTGACCAGTCGTAGTTACAGTTACAGCCCGCCTCCCCACTACCTGCTCCTTCTCCCTATACTGGTCCTACTGGAGGTCTTGCTGAGCGTCGTGCGCCTGCGTCTTGTCCTGGGTCGCCTGTTCGTGCTGCTCGCACTAATCGTCGTGTTCCGCGTCAGCGTCCTCCTGCGGTCCCGGGCACGCACCAGATGGCACTGCGTCCTTCCACTGCTCCGCAGCGTGTCCCTTTGCCGTCTCCTCCGGATTCCTCTCTTCCTGCTCTTGCTGACCCGAAGTCGGACTCTCTTCGTGCTGCCAGTCCTACTGTCATGCGTCTCCTGGCTACTGTTGTATTGACCCTTCCTTTGAGTCCACTGTTGCTTCTGCCTTAGTTGCTGAGTTGGTCGACTTCGCTGCTCACTGTCGTCTAGATTACGTTGCTAGTCTTGTTGCTGAGTCTAAGTCGGTCTGTCCTCCGTCCGTCGGGGGTGAGTGTGCTCTTAGCACGGACGTCCTTGAGGACAGGCAGGAGGAGTTCTAGTGTTTTGCTGCTGCTTTGCCTCATCTCGTGTCCATGCTGATTGCCTCTTAGGGAGACCCGGATGCACCAGACATCCCGACTCCTCGATCGTACGCTGAGGCGATCGAGGGTCCGTACTCCTCACAGTGGCAGTCAGCCATGGACGCAGAGATGGCTTCCTGGAAGTCCACGGGCACCTACGTCGACGAGGTTCCCCCACCTGGGGCGAACATCGTCAGTGGCATGTGGATTTTCAGGGTGAAGCGGCCGCCGGGTTCTCCGCCTGTCTTCAAGGCGCGTTACGTGGCTCAAGGCTTCAGTTAGCGGCAGGGAGTTGACTACTTTCAAACCTTCTCTCCCACCCCGAAGATGACCACTCTTCGGGTGCTGCTGCACATAGCCGCTCAGCGCGACTACGAGCTTCACTCTCTTGACTTCAGCACAACTTTCTTGCAGGGCAGCCTGCACGAGGAGATCTGGCTTCGCCGCCCACCTGGCTTCACTGGGTCGTTTCCTCCTGGTACCCAGTGGAGCCTCCGGCGGCCAGTCTATGGTCTCCGCCAGGTGCCGCGTGAGTGGCACGACACACTGAGGACTACACTTGCGGCTCTTGGGTTTGCTCCTTCTACTGCTGACCCGTCGGTGTTTCTGCGCACCGACACCTCTCTGCTGCCGTTCTACATACTCGTGTACGTCTACGACTTGGTCTTTGCCACTGCTGACACTGTTGGACTCGCCCACGTGAAGTCCAAGCTGCAGAAGAGACACACGTGCACAGACCTGGGTGAACTGCGCAGCTACCTTGGCTTGCAGATCCCCCGGGACAGAGCACAGCGCACCATTACCCTGACTCAGTCACACATGGTGCAGCAGGTCCTTCAGCGTTTCGACTTCACGTACTCCTCGCCTCAGGCCACTCCTCTGTCTACTCGCCACTCGCTCTCAGCTCTGCCTTCGGATGAGTCCGTAGAGCCGAGTGGCCCGTACCTAGAGCTTGTTGGCTGCCTCATGTACCTGATGACCTGCACTCGACCTGACCTTGCATACCCTCTTAGCATCTTGGCACGCTATGTTGCTCCTGGGAGACACCGACCAAAGCACATGGCTGCAGCAAAGAGGGTGTTCCGCTACTTGTGCAGTTCGTCGGGCATGGGGCTAGTGCTAGGAGGGCGGCGTTCAGTGGTCCTCAGACGTCACGAAGACGCTTCTTGTGCTGACGACCAGGCTACGCAGCGGTCGTCACAGGGTTACACCTTCAGCCTTGGCTCCGGCTCTGTTTCGTGGCGGTCTACCCGCTCGTCTTCTGTTCTTGGCTCCAGCTGTGAGGATGAGATCTACGCGGGGGCCATGGCTGCACAGGAGCTACGCTGGCTCACCTACTTGCTGACAGATCTAGGAGAGCCGCCTCGTTCTCCTCCGGTTCTGCACGTAGACAACAAGGCCATGCTGGCCTTGTGTCGGGAGCACAGACTGGAGCACAGAACAAAGCACATTGCTCTTCGCTACTTCCTTGCTCGTGAGCTGCAGCAGCGTGGTCAGCTGCGCCTTGCGTACGTGGCCTCTGAGGCCAACACTGCTGATATCTTTACCAAGGCACTTCCGCCTTGTGATCATCAGCGATGCTGTACGATGCTAGGTCTTGTGCCTACTTGGCCTCACTTGCTCACTTCTTGACCTTACTTGTACTGTGATTATTCTATACCTGCACTTGCTTGTTTACCTTTATATATGATCTTGCAGGTGAACTGGCCTTGTGGCCTTGAAATTGTGCTCAGAATGTGTGGTGACGTTGTGATCCACCCTGAGCTTGCTTTACCTTGCTTTACTGGTCTTGTGACCTCTTGTTCTCCCCGACTCTGCCTATGGGGGTGTGTCAAACTTATATGCTATAGTCTGTGTAGGCTGTAGTGGGGTAGACAATATGGGGTACAACACTTTTAGGTTTTCCTACTTGTACCCACCTCTTTCCTAGTGCATTCATTCCTTGTTCTTTCACAAGATCGAGCTTCCCAGCTTCGCGATTTGGTCGCGAAGGCTCCGATAGCGATTGATGTAGCTGTTGGCCTTCTCCCCCGGGGCCATTTTAGTTTCCAGCAGCTGCTGGAGCAACCCGCTCGAAGAGACACAGTCCTTCGGCTGATACACGCCGTTCAGGTGGCGCCAAGCGTCGAGGGCTGGAGCAGCCAATGTCTTGTAGAACGAATGTTCAACTGCTCCGCCGGCGACATGTTACGAAGGAGGATGCCGTACGCCATCAAGGACTCGTTGTAGTACCTTGTTTGTCAGAATGTTATTCTCTAGCCTGTAGTGGGGTGCTTGTCAGAATATATTTGTAACTGCCTGTAGCTGTAGCTAGTGTAGTTATTATAAACTTTGTTTGGTGGTGCACCTTCTTTGTTACTTTGCTATATGTTCTTGCAAACCTATAGTGAAGACCCTTTCTCCCTTCTCAACTTTCTTGACATTCTCCTCAACCCTAAACCTCAACTACTAAGAACCTAACTAGCAATGGCTCCTAAGCCAACCTCTGCCTAGTATCTTAACATGGTATTCAGAGCAGGTACGTTCTTGCTACCTTCCTGCTTCCGCTGCCTATCGTCTTGCCGTGCACCTCGGGCGCGCGGCGTTGGCGCACGGCGATTTTCTGCCCGCCGTGTGCTCGGGTCGCACGGCGGGCTTCTGCCCGCCGTGCGCCCTGGGCGCGCGGCGTCTTCCTGCCCCGCGCGTGGCCTGCCTTCACGCCGCCTGCGCGCCTGCCTCACGTCCGCGGGCGGGCCTGATTTGCCCGCCCGTACCCTCCACTTCGCGGCGCCCTGCGAGGCGCCGCTCTTGCTCGTCGCGACGCACCTGCGGGACCCGGGCGTCGCCACTCCTACTCGTCGCGACGCCCCTGCAGGACCCGCATGGCGTCGCCTTGCTCGTCGCGACGCCATTGCGGGACCCGTGGGGCGTCGCCACTGCTCGTCGCGGCGCCCCTTGGACGCCGCCCCTACTCGTCGCGCCGCCCCTGGGGCGTCGCCCGTGCTCGTAGCGGCACTCCTTGGGCGTCGTCCCTGCTCGTCGCGGCGCCCTCCCCCCTGGCCACCGCCTCTGCCTCACCCGCGCCCGCGCCAGCGTTGCAGCCAAGCGCGGGCCTACCTTGCTCCAGCGCCGCCCCTGGACCTCAGCAGCAGCGCCTGGAGCAGCCCCCCTAGCAGCAGCAGCCTCTGGAGCCGCCGCCCAAACAGCAGCAGCCTCTGGAGCTGCCGCCACTGCAGCGGCCGCCCCAGCAGCAGCAACGTCTGGAGCAGCCGCCCCATCAGCGGCAGCGCTTGGAGCAGCCGCCCCAGCAGCAGCAACCTCTGGAGCCGCCGCCCCAGCAGCAGCAGCGCCTGGAGCAGCCGCCCCAGGCGCAGCAGCCCCTGGAGCCGCCGCCCAAACAGCAGCAGCCTCTGGAGCAACCGCCCCAGCAGCAGCAGCGCCTGGAGCAGCCGCCCCAGCAGCAGCAGCCCGTGGAGCCGCCGCCACTGCAGCGGCCGCCCCAGCAGCAGCAGCGCCTGGAGCAGCCGCCCCAGCAGCAGCCCACGGCGCCGACCCCACAGCTGTATGCAACGCCGCTCCTGGACTCGGTATGGCTGCCCGTGCCTGTGCTGCCTGTTGCTGTCTCTGCCTGTTGCCGCCCGTTGCTGCCCGTGCCTGTGCTGCCTGTTGCTGCCCGTGCCTGTGCTGCCTGTTGCCGCCCGTTGCTGCCTGTGCCTGTGCTGCCCATTGCTGCCTGTTGCTGCCCGTGCCTGTGCTGCCTGTTGCTGCCCGTGCTTGTGCTGCGTGTTGCCGCCCGTTGCTGCCTGTGCCTGTGCTGCCCGTTGCTGCCTGTTGCTGCCTGTGCCTGTGCTGCCTGTTGCCGCTCGTTGCTGCCCGAGCCTGTGCTGCCCGTTGCTGCCCGTGCGTGTGCTGCCTGTTGCCGCCCGTTGCTGCCCGTGCCTGTGCTGCCCGTTGCTGCCTGTTGCTGCCCGTGCCTATGCTGCCCGTTGCCGCCCGTTGCTGCCCGTGCCTGTGCTGCCCGTTGCCGCCCGTTGCTGCCCGTGCCTTTGCTGCCTGTTGCGGCCCGTTGCTGCCCGTGCCTGTGCTGCCTGTTGCTGCCCGTGCGTGTGCTGCCTGTTGCCGCCCGTTGCTGCCCGTGCCTGTGCTGCCCGTTGCCGCCCGTTGCTGCCCGTGCCTGTGCTGGCCGTTGCCGCCCGTTGCTGCCCGTGCCTGTGCTGCTCGTTGCTGCCCGTGCCTGTGCTGCCTGTTGCTGCCCGTTGCTGCCCGTGCCTGTGCTGCCTGTTGCCGCCCGTTGCTGCCCGTGCCTGTGCCGCCCGTTGCCGCCCGTTGCTGCCCGTGCCTGTGCTGCCCGTTGCCTCCCGTTGCTGCCCGTGCCTGTGCTGCCCGTTGCTGCCCGTTGCTGCCCGTGCCTGTGCTGCCCGTTGCCGCCTGTTGCTGCCTGTTGCTGCCCGTGCCTGTGCTGCCTGTTGCCGCTCGTTGCTGCCCGAGCCTGTGCTGCCCGTTGCTGCCCGTGCGTGTGCTGCCTGTTGCCGCCCGTTGCTGCCCGTGCCTGTGCTGCCCGTTGCTGCCTGTTGCTGCCCGTGCATGTGCTGCCCGTTGCCGCCCGTTGCTGCCCGTGCCTGTGCTGCCCGTTGCCGCCCGTTGCTGCCCGTGCCTGTGCTGCCTGTTGCCGCCCGTTGCTGCCCGTGCCTGTGCTGCCTGTTGCTGCCCGTGCCTGTGCTGCCTGTTGCCGCCCGTTGCTGCCCGTGCCTGTGCTGCCCGTTGCCGCCCGTTGGTGCCCGTGCCTGTGCTGCCCGTTGCCGCCCGTTGCTGCCCGTGCCTGTGCTGCTCGTTGCTGCCCGTGCCTGTGCTGCCTGTTGCTGCCCGTTGCTGCCCGTGCCTGTGCTGCCTGTTGCCGCCCGTTGCTGCCCGTGCCTGTGCCGCCCGTTGCCGCCCGTTGCTGCCCGTGCCTGTGCTGCCCGTTGCCTCCCGTTGCTGCCCGTGCCTGTGCTGCCCGTTGCCGCCCGTTGCTGCCCGTGCCTGTGCTGCCCGTTGCCTCCTGTTGCTGCCTGTTGCTGCCCGTGCCTGTGCTGCCTGTTGCCGCCCGTTGCTGCCCGTGCCTGTGCCGCCCGTTGCCGCCCGTTGGTGCCCGTGCCTGCGCTGCCCGTTGCCGCCCGTTGCTGCCCGTGCCTGTGCTGCCTGTTGCCGCCCGTTGCTGCCCGTGCCTTTGCTGCCTGTTGCCGCCCGTTGCTGCCCGTGCCTGTGCTGCTCGCGCCCTTGTGCGCTCTGCTCTGCCTGCGCCCTCGTGCGCTCTGCTGCTGCCCGCGCCCTCGTGCGCCCTGCTGCTGCCCGCGCCCTTGTGCGCTCTGCTCTGCCTGCGCCCTCGTGCGCTCTGCTGCTGCCCGCGCCCTCGTGCGCCTTGCTGCTGCCCGCGCCCTTGTGCGCTCTGCTCTGCCTGCGCCCTCGTGCGCTCTACTGCTGCCTGCGCCCTCGTGCGCCCTGCTGCTGCCCGTGCCCTTGTGCGCTCTGCTCTGCCTGCGCCCTCGTGCGCTCTGCTGCTGCCCGCGCCCTCGTGCGCCCTGCTGCTGCCCGCGCCCTTGTGCGCTCTGCTCTGCCTGCGCCCTCGTGCGCTCTGCTGCTGCCCGCGCCCTCGTGCGCCCTGCTGCTGCCTGCGCCCTTGTGCGCTCTGTTCTGCTCTGTCACCCCCCCCCCCCCCCCCCCCTTCTTCGCCTCCTTGCTGCGCGTGCAGCCGTGGAACGGAGTCTATGGGGTGGCGGGTATGGGGGTGATGGGTGTGTGTGATCCCCTTCCCCTCCTCCTCCTTTCTCTCCCACTGCTGCAGCTGCCGCTGGGGGGGTGGTGGGTGTGAGGGTGTGGGGGAGCTGGGGGAGAGGTGCTAGGGTAGTCAAGGAGTGTGGAAGGGGGAGTTGGAGGACTGAGGAAGGTTCCAGGAAGCAGCCACCTTGGAGCCAGCAGCTTCACCTGCCAGCAGCTTCTCCTCATATAGTCCCTCCTCCTCACTTGCCCTCTCCTCCTGCTGTGCTTGGTGTACCCCTTCAGGGGGTGTCTCTGCATTAGCTTCTGCTGCAGGGAGTTATGGGGGAGTGTCAGAATATATTTGTAACTGCCTGTAGCTGTAGCTAGTGTAGTTATTATAAACTTTGTTTGGTGGTGCACCTTCTTTGTTACTTTGCTATATGTTCTTGCAAACCTATAGTGAAGACCCTTTCTCCCTTCTCAACTTTCTCGACATTCTCCTCAACCCTAAACCTCAACTACTAAGAACCTAACTAGCAATGGCTCCTAAGCCAACCTCTGCCTAGTATCTTAACAGTGCTCTATAGCGAGTACAACCCATCTAGGGTTTGCTATATATATCCTCATTGCTGCTAGTGAAACCTCCTCTTTTGCCTAAACTTCTCTTGCCTAGCTAGGGCTTACCTAGCTATGGCTCCTAACTCTGCCTACTGTTTTCACATGCTATCAGAGCGGGTACGCTCCTGGCCTGTGGGCCCACCTGCTTCCGCTGCTACTCGATCTGTCGCACGCCCCGTGGCGTGCGACGAATTTTTCATCCCGCCGCGGCCCCGTTGCCGCTCTTTGCGGCCCCGTCGCCGCCCTTCGCGGCCCCCACTCGGCCCCTCCCCCCCCCCCCTTCGCGGCCCCGTCGCCTCCCTTAGCGGCCCCGTCGCCGCCCACAGCGGCCCCGTCGCCGCCCTCTACGGCCCCGTCGCCGCCGCAGCGGCCCCGTCACCGCCCGCAGCGACCCCTTCGCCGCCCGCAGCGGCCCCGTCGCAGCCCGCAACGGCCCCGTCGCTGCCCGCAGCGGCCCCGTCGCCGTCCGCAGCGGCCCCGTCGCCGCCCGCAGCGGCCCCGTCGCCGTCCGTAGCGACCCCTTCGCCGCCCGCAGCGGCCCCGTCGCCTCCCGCAGCGGCCCCGTCGCCGCCCTCTACGGTCCCGTCGCCGCCCTCCCGCTGCCCCTTCGCGGCGCCCTGGGGAGCCGCGCGCGGACCCTCGCTGCCCCGTGGTGGCGCCCTGGGGGCCGCGCGCCGTTCCCCTCGCCGTCCCCCTGCGCTCCTTCCCCGTCCCACCCGTTTTAGGGTTTGGGGGTGCGGGGTGTGGGGGTGGCGGTTGTGGGAGTGTCGGTTGTGTGCGCCGTCCCCTCCTCCTCCTCCTCCTTCGTCTCCCACTGCTGCAGCTGTCGCCGAGGGGGGTGGATGTGTGGGAGCCTGGGGCTTAGGGTTTAAAGGGGGTGCCGTGGGAGTGGAGCTAGGGTTTGAGCAGTGGGTGTGTGTCGAGGGTGTGGGGCAGTTGGAGGAGGTTGTGTGAAGGTAGCTGTCTTGTAGCCTGCAGCGCGTGTAGTCCGTCGCCCTTGCTTCGGTAGCCAGTGAGCCTGTCGCACCAGTCGCCAGTGGGTCCGTTGCTCCTGCCGCTCGTCTATAGCTGCGGAGCCAGTCACTCCAATAGTCCGTCGCCCTTGCTTTGGTAGCCACTGAGTCAGCCGCTCCTGTGCCCGTGCCTCTGCAGCTTCAGTCGTTGCCTCCCATCTTCTCTCTCTCCACAGTCTCTCCTCCTCCTCACTTGCCCTCTGTGATTAGCTCTTGCTTTGCTTACCTTTGTGAACTCCTGCTCTATACCTGCTTGCTCATTGTACTGATTACACCCCACTTTGGCTATGGGGGTGTGTCAGAATGTTATTCTCTAGCATGTAGTGGGGTGCTCTATAGCGAGTACAACCCATCTAGGGTTTGCTATATGTATCCTCATTGCTGCTAGTGAAACCTCCTCTTTTGCCTAAACTTCTCTTGCCTAGCTAGGGCTTACCTAGCTATGGCTCCTAACTCTGCCTACTGTTTTCACATTGTCCTGGCGTCGTCGGTATCCTCAGCGGGCTCCGCGTAACTCCCGTCGAAGTAGTGAAAAATCTGAGCGTTCTGCAGCAGGAGCTCCAACTCAAAGCTCCATGTATGGAAGTCTCTGTCGTCAAAACACACACTTGTCTTTATTTTTTATATGCTGAGAAACCTTGATTGCGCAGAGAGAATTGCTTCTTCACTGGGACGGGGATTCTTGAGGGTTGAACCATTTGTGTCGAGGGAGAAAGTGTGCGGGGCGGCGTTCTGGCCATTTGGGGCCGGTTGAGAAGGTTGCGATGATGTTCCTGCGTCGTCGTTCCGCAATGTTTGGAGCCCTTGCTCCAAGCTAGTGAGTCGCTGAAGAAGTTGTGCGAGGACTTAGGTCCCGATAGTCGTCGTTTCCTCGCTTGTCGCAGCCGGGTTGGTTTGCGCTTCAGCCGTCAGATTAGTCTGACCACCAGATCCTCCGGCCATTCTCACACGCGAGCGTGTGCCGTACGCCACTTTCCGAATGTCGTAATTTTCGGGAGTGGCAGTGCGAAGGATTCCTGAGCCGCTCTCATACCATGCTGCGATCAGAAGATGAACGCTGCCAGGATCTCCTCGGGAAGGTTCGCACTTAGATAGGTAGACTAGGTGCCTCAACAGCAGAGTGAATGTAAAATGCTTGAGATGAATTAAAACATGCAAATACAGCAATATAAATAAGAGTACAGGGGAATATGAATCCACCTAGCTAGCCATGTACTCTAAGGGGTACATTCCCTTATTCAAATTCATTCCCAACCGTGCGGCGCGTGTTAGAATCTTAGCATAAGTGGTAGTTGAGATTTAAGGCGGGCCTAGGCTTAGTAGCCTAGGCCACGAGGAAGACGAGGAGTTTGTGCCAAGGTGAGAGTGTCGAGAGAATTGGAAAGGTGAGTGTTCACTATAGTGCTAGGGTACATATAGTAAACAGAGCATGCAAAGAAGGTGCACCACCAACAGTTTATAATAACTACACTAAACTACAGCTACAGGCAGTTACATATAAATTCTGACACTCCCCCATAACTGCCTGCAGCAGGAGTTTGTGCAGAACACAACCTGCAGGGGTACACAAGCAACAGCAACAGCAGGTACGGTAAGAGAGCAGGTACAGCAGCAAAGGGACAGGCGACAGCAAGAAATATCTGCCACCCCCTTACTCTCGTCCCCCCCCAACCACAGGAGGGGCAGCATGGAGAGTGAGGAGGCGGACTGGCTCTGGCTGGTCACCCCCTCCATCTCCTCACCCTCCCCCTCCCCCTCCCCCCCACACTGCTGCAGGAGCAGCAGAGGGGGGAAGAGAGGAGAGGTGGAGGGACGGCTGCTGGTTGGTCTCACACCCGCCACCCCAATGCCACTCCCCCGGCTCCCCCACACCCTCACACCCTCCCCCCCAGCAGCAGCTGCAGCAGTGGGAACGAAAGGAGGAGGAGGGGAAGGGAAGCACACCACCCATCACCCCAACACCCGCCACCCCCATACCCTCCCCCCCACGGCTGCAGGGAGACGAAGGAGGAGGGGGTGGGCGGGGAGAAAGCCGCAGAGCGGCTACAGAGGGTCGTCGCAGGTAGGTCAGGGGCGGCTGCTAGGAGTGCAGGCGCGGGGTGAGGCAGAGGCACCGCCGAGTGCGCCAGGGGCGGGTACTTGGCGGTTCAGGACACCGTCGCAGGCGCCAGGGGCGGTTCCGCGGCGGCTCAAGGGCACCATCGCGCATGCCACGGGGCGCACGACGGGCAAGTTTAGGGCACCGTCGTGTGCCTCGGGGCGCACGACGAGCAGGGCACCGTCGCGTGCCACGGGGCGCACGACGGGCAAGTTTAGGGCACCGTCGTGTGCCACGGGGCGCACGACGGGCAGGGCACCGTCGCGTGCCACGGGGCGCGCGACGGGCAGAGAAGATGTCACTCGCCAGCCGGGGGGGGACAGGACGAAAATCGCCACGCGCCCGAGGCGCGCGACCGGAAAAACAGCAGCGGAAGCATAAGGCGGGCCCACAGGCCAGGACAAAACACGCTCTAATGCAATGTTAGAATCTTAGCATAAGTGGTAGTTGAGATTTAAGGCGGGCCTAGGCTTAGTAGCCTAGGCCACGAGGAAGACGAGGAGTTTGTGCCAAGGTGAGAGTGTCGAGAGAATTGGAAAGGTGAGTGTTCACTATAGTGCTAGGGTACATATAGTAAACAGAGCATGCAAAGAAGGTGCACCACCAACAATTTATAATAACTACACTAAGTTACAGCTACAGGCAGTTACATATAAATTCTGACAGCGCGTACAGCTACAGACCTGTTCCCGCCAACATTCTCCTGCCTGCAGCTTGCCGATGCCGTCTGCTCCGACGGTCTAGATGCACGCCAACCGTCTGACGCTTCAAGTCCTTGTATTCGTTCTTGATACTGCATGCTTCCTTAGTTGCGGTCGGGAGTGCACAGTAATGTTCTTATACATTTCTATTCGTAACAGCCCACTTTTAGGAACGAAAGGGAGTGTTGGAATAACCAAGAATTATTTAACATTATCGAAGGTTCTCCCTTAGCGCACCGGGCAACGCATTGTACAAGTAACCGACTAAGCACATACTACAACAGCGTGCAAAAAGACGGTCAACAGTCGTAGGAAGTTAACGGCCACGACTCTCGACCACCTTGCATCCATAACCGGAGGTTATGCCCTGCACCATGGTGACTGTAAAAAATAACAATAATTACTCTAAATGTAACGATGCTTGCAATACAGTTAAGTATGGAAATGTATTTCTCGGAGCACATGGCTAGGTAGGAATGCTACAAAACCCTCATGCATTACTATCTTAATTATCTTCTTGTTTCTGTTAATCATTATAAACAAGGTCATTTGGACCTCTGTTGTCTTAACTCTACATTGCAAGCATTCTCGTGTCCGCTGCGAGTCCTTCGTTATATCAACACTTGTATCCGTAATTTTTGCGTTGTTTATGAGTCAGTTTCAAGAAGAAGATGGCTGTAGAACTAGTGGGTGTCATAGTGGGCGTTAACATGAAGAAATAAGTCAAGGGCTTAGTGTCCAATATACCGTAGGCTTTCCTACCCTAACCCAAAAAATCAGAATCTTCTTACTAGCCTTATTTCTTTGAGTTCTGTT